ACGTATAATCCTTTTAACTCCCAGCTTGCCTGTGAACTGCGAACTGCACACTGCAGACTGCAAGGAGAGATCAGCAGGAAGCAAACTGGTCCAGAATACAAAGTGTCCAGGTTACAAGAGCACACTATCTCAAGATTTCACGTTTGTTCCCGGCAAATGCCCCACCCCACAGTGTCTCCTTAAATCCTACTCCCCAGGTGTGCCTTGTGGAGTGGGGCGGGACGCTCTCCTCCCGAGCAAGTGAGCCTGCCTCCGTTGTTCCCTCCTCCTCCTCTCTGCTCTCCTTGATCTAGGATCAGGTGGGGAGGGGCCTTGCTCCTCGCCTGAACTCTGCCTTCCCTGTTCCAAACCTGAAGGGCCCTGGCCTGCCTCAGCCTGCTCCTCCCCACAGTCCTCCAAAGCCACAGACACCCCCTCCTGGGCCTCAACAGGGAACTCCATGTCTTCCTCAGAGTCAGGCTCGGACGGAGGCATGACAACGTATCACTTTTTTTGCATTGCGGGAGCTGGGGTGGGTGCACCCTCTGCATGATGCAACTGGCCCGTGGGCCAGCAGTTTGACACCCCTGAACTAGAACAACTGTGAACAGCGTGCTTGGAACTGGCTGAGAATATTGATCTTCTCTCTTCTATCTTGTAACTGATTTCCTGGAAAAGATCCCCAAGAAGCAAAAAATCCTCCAAAAGTGAGAAGGGAGGGGATCACACACCCCACCCTTCCATAGACTGAAGCGGCGATTTAATTTTTATGGGGGACAGAAATATATTGAAATGAAGTTAATAATACTATAGTCTGGATAAATCTGAAAATTATGAAAACCATTAAGATTTCACATCTGAAAGAGTATTGATGACATTATAAAAAATAATTCTTCGTCTTAAAAGTTGGAAAATGAATAGCTACTGACATCTAGTGGAGGATTAGAGCATAGAACAACAGCTGCAATGACTCAGAAATTGGCAAGACGCCCAGAAATAAAAAACAACTTGTTCCTTTGAACCTCAGTGACTTCTAGCCAAATAGAGAACAGCTGGGAAGAGAGGAAAGAAAATACACTGGGCCACCTACTACAGATTGAGAACTATATTTGTTTTAAAAACTGCTGACCTTCTGGGATTATAAACATTTACTGAGCTGTGATCTCTAAGCTCAAGAATTGTCTGCAGAGAAAAACCTTGACTTTTGGCTAATCTTCTAGGGGGGAATTTACTGGATGGTTAAACATTCTGGATTGCAATTTTGGATGGCTGATAATTGTAAGACCCCTGAATAGAAGAATAGAAATGCATTGGATTATAAAAACCATATATAAAGATAAGAACTATATAAGATTTGGTTATTTGGATTTTAAGATTGGCTGGTTTAACAAGGCTAATCATAGAGACTATGGTACTGGTGAAAGAATATCTGGAGGGGGGAGATAAAATGGATGTTGCATACCTATCTAAAAATGGCAGGAAACCACACCTAATATCTCCTTCTGAAGGCCCCAGCCTGGAATATCAGAGACCTGCAGGAGCAATACTCCAAGACAAAGCAAATATTTTCCAGGAGGAAATGTATGCAATGCTGTGACAGATTCAAATGACAATGGTGTCAAATCATGATGAGATTAAAAACAACTTTGATGACATAAATGAGCACATCTTTAACCTAAACTTACAATTAAAAACCTCTCAGAAAACGACAACAAAGAATGAACAAACAAACCAGATAACAGAACACAAACCAGTGACCCAAAGAGTGAAGCTACAGATGAAGAGAACCATAGCTTAATACAAACAAAAGAAAACTTGTAA